ATTAACTGCTATCAGAACTCCACTCAGAATTTGGAGCATTGATGAGAATGGTCACATTTTTTCATGTACTATGTTGATCTCTTAAATGTGTGACTAAGAAATAAAGAAGAGGCATATATTTAAAAAATAATTTTGTGGATATATTTGAGATGAGGACAACCCCACACTGTGCACTGGACTATTCACTATTCTAGAACAGTTTCCCTAATTGTCCTCTTCCAGTAAAATTCTCAAAAGGTATGTTTACTATTGCTATCTTCACATCTTCTCCCATTCTGGCAAGCCTGTTTGGAGCAGGTTCAAGAGAGAATGGTTGATATGTTATGTTGAGAATGGCATGTCACTCCTGCAGCCTTCCTCTCAAAAATTCATAACCCCAGACTCACCATGAGAAAAATATCAGCCAACCTCAAATTAAAGTGCATTCTCTACAATACCTCATGTATTCCTCAAAATTATCAAGATCATCAAAACAAGGAAAGTTAGAGAAACTGTTCCAGCCCAGAGGAACCTAAGGTGCTGTGACAACTAAAGATAATATGGTATTCTGGATGAGACCCTGGAACAGGAAGGAAACTTTGGGTAAAAGGTAAGGAAATCTGAATCAAGCATGGCGCTAACTAACTCCATATAAAAATTATTGGTATAGATTCATTAATTGTGACTAATCTGCCATACTGATGCAAAAGGTGAATAATAGAAGGGCTTTGGTGTGGGGTATATAGCAACTCTCTGCATTGTGTTTACAACTCTTCTATGAATCTAATACTTTTCTAAAACAAAAAGGCAATATACTAGTGTTAGCTAATAGTTTCAGAACTTGCAGTAAGAGTCATAGCAGTAGTTACAGTGATAGTAGTTAGTAATAGAAGATGCCTACCCATGTTAGAAGAGAGAACCCAATTAGCCTGTTTCTTCCATGCGGCATATATACACAGGGTTGAACTGCATATACAGCCCATTTGGGGAACTATAATCTTAATTTTAGCAATAAGACAGAAATCTGTCCAATTCACACTTATAAAAGATAACTACCTGCATAGGATCTTTATCTAGAGGTGTTATAAAGATGACAAAAGGGTGTTTTGAGAAGGACTGAACTCAAACTTTTGTAAGAGGTTTATGCTGCTCATTTTACATGTTAAGTACAGTGAAGACTAGAAGATATATAGCAGAGTTTGATACCAGAATTTCCAGCTGATCCTCACAAAGAAGGTAACGCTTAGCCAGAGTGGACAAGAACAGAAGCCATCAAGCCTAGACCCTCCTGTTCTCATCTGCCCTTCTCCTCAACTATCTCTGCCAGCAAGCTCATTCTCTAAATACTAAATTTTAATCCACTTATTTTTCCAATCTCCTTTGCTTGCCTTCAATACACTCTGCAAAAAGGGCTGCCTGCTTCTATGTTGACTAAAATGACTCCACAGAGCTGACATTTTCAGAACTCAATAAACCTGTACCCCTTTCGGCAGCTGTATCTCTTTCTGTAGCGAAAGCAGAAGGAATGGAAACCAGGCGCTCCACAGAGTGTGACATCACCTCATCATATAAAAGTAATGGCTTTGTAGTGGTTTCCACAAGATTGTTAGAGAAAGAGATAGTGCCAGTACATTACACGGTCTGCAATTGAAATCTGCATACTAAATTACTTCTAGTCCCATGATATGCCCACTGTTATGCTTTCAGATTGTCACACACACTTAATCTCTGCAAGAACAGTCTTCTCGTCTCTCTTCATCTTAGGATTTTGACTTAGATGTCACTTGGACCAGGAAGTCCTTGCTAACAACCTCTCAACCCCAAGTTTATATCAAGGGTTCCCTTAGAACCAAAACATTCCTCTGTCTGAGCAATTGTCACATTGTATTACAATTGTTCATCAGATTTAAGGTACATGAAGGCATTGCCATGTCTCTCTGGATCACTGTCAAACTATTGAGAGCCAGAACATTGATTGATACACAGTAGGGATGCAAATACATAACTTAGAATGAATGGATAGAATCACTCCCAATCAAAAGTATATTGTAAGATCATTTTCACTCAAAGATTCTGTCATGCTATTTCTCAAGAACATTTAAATCTTAGGGCAGAGGCTGGTGTAAAGAAGCTGTCTTTCATATCACCATACACCCTATCTGCTACTCTGGCAAAAACATCAATGTTTAAAACAATGAGGTTTTCAAGATGCATTTCAAATCTACATTTATGTCACATTTTCAGGATAAGGAATAATAGCAGAAATAAACATTTTAAAACCACAGTGAAATGACCTGAGTATAAAAGATGATCTTCATGACATTTCATTTCTAGGTGTTTGTTCTTACATTGAGTATGAGCTGTTAAAATCCAAACTATAGCTAAAGTAAAAACTTGTGAACATTTAAATAAGTGATTAAACTAAATCAAAAATTTGTAATTAACTAAAAATAAGTATGGGCAGGATTAAACGTACTCTCTTTCATCTCACTGGGGTATAGTTTTTCTGGGTAAATCCTAGAAACATTATTATATTTTTTTCCTTTCACATCCCTTAACATTATTCAAATACACTTTAAACAAAAAATTGAAATATATTAAGGACTCATTTTACTAATTGACCTAATCTCCATTTAAGAGAGTTTAAAGATATTAAATAATATATTCTTACAAAACCCTATAACAATATAGCAGAGTATATAAAGCACAGTAAATGATCATAGTTACATATCTTTAAATAATTCCTTCCATGCCTGAATTTATTAGTTTTTCTTAGGGCCACTTTATGTCACATAGTGCCCTAAATCCGTGAGAGTAGAGAAATGAGTAAATTTACCCACACTGTGAAGAAGTTTACTCTTTATTGGAGAGAGAAACAAGTATAGGTCACTGCAATGAAATCTTTGGGAATGATGTCAAAGTATGCCTGGAGGCGGTGTGGAAATACACAGGAGAGATACTCACCTTGGAACAGGTTGCTCTTCTCCACACAATCTAAGTTGCTCCCTTCACTGACATTCAGTGAAAAGAGGCAAGTAGATGTCACATGTGGATTCAGTGTTTCACCTGACAGTTGTAGGGAAAGATAAAATTCAACCTTTCTTCTGAAATTTAGCAGCAGTAATTGTGGTTTGGTTTGTCCATTGAAGAAGTTAAGGGTTTTGGTGATCATAATGAAAATAATACAGAAGAAATGTTAACAAAAATGCAAGAAACTCTCATAGAAAGGACAAAGTATAAAGGAAGGAGCATGACTTTTGTCTTAAGTACATAGGTTTGAATCACAGCTCTGTCACTTACTATTCATGTGTCTATATACAAATCATATAAATTACCTAACCCTTAGTTTCTTCATATGCAAAATGAAGTGAATGCTAGCTTACTCATGGAGTTACTATAAGCATTAAATAAGATAGCATTTATATAGCACTTTGCAGATTACCTGTGCCATCTTAAAGGACTAAAATGTGATGGCAGAGATCTAATTGTAAACTAAACTAGGTATTTCAATGCAGGATGCTTTACCCCTGACAGGGAGTGGGAGAATGCTGACAAGTGTGAAGCAGTGATCTGATGTCAGCGAGTCTGGCATACCAAGCAGAGAATAAAGGCAGGGATGTGGTTGATGATGACAATGAAGGTGATAATCACTGCATCTCCTCCAAAAGTTTAGAACATTTATCACTTTGATTTCCTATGACCAATTAAAATACTTACATATATATATATATATATATATATATATTTTTTTTTTTTTTTAAGTGCACTTAGGAATAATCATGTTTCAGTTAACCCCTTTGCTAAGTAGACCCTCCTTGACTCTAAAAGAAGTCAGAATCTCTGGAATGTCTTACTTGGTATTACATGAACCAATGTGAAATCTCACTGAACAACTTTTCTACTCCCAGTGGTAAAATAGGGAGCATTAGTATCCCACATGCATTGAGTCAGAATGAAGCTCAGTGAGCAGTGAGCAATGTGGAATATGAACCTCAACCCACCTACTGTCTAACTTCCTGTGCATTGCTTATACTTGAGTGGCTTCAGCATTAGGTAGAATTCCAGCATTGGCTTTCTCTCTCTTTCACTTCCCTTTAACCTGAAAGAGTGCAAAAGCTTTGAATTCAAGCTCACTCACTAATCCTGGCCCGAGACTCTACAGCTTCCAGCATAGTACTTAGCCTCTGTACTTGTTTTCTTATTTGAAAAAGTAGTGGGTACAGTACCTATTTTAGGAGGTTTTAAACTTTTTAAACATGAGGACAAATATCAAACACCTTGGATAGTGTTTAGCATATAGCAGGCATTCAATATACACTGACATTTTTGCATCATTCTTTTCATCCACTGTTACCTCATTTGATTTAGGAGGGCATTGTTGGCTCCATTTTACAGATGAGCTGTAAGATAGGTTAAGATAATTTCTTAGGCCACACATAGGGTAAGTAAAGAAAGGATTTGACCCTAAATCTCCTAATGCTTGTCACAGACACTTTTGGTGTCCTGTGCTAACATCCTCTTACAAGACTCTGATTTCAGCCATAGCTGCGATAGATGGTTCCTGCAGCGGGAAACATCCTACTTCAGGCCTCCACTGTACCATTTGTCTCTCCTCTTCTTGGCCTCAAGTTCCTCTCTAAAGGCCCTACGAGTTTTCAGGCAAGAGAATTCTGGAAGTACACAGGAGTTAAAGTCCTTAACACACCCTTTAATGAATGGACACCAGCATCCATTCTCTTTCTTCTGACAGATAATTCTCAATTGCATTATTTGAGTCAGAGTTGGCCATAGGGGGAGCTATCTCAGCACACCCTACTTTGGCTTTGCCTTGTCTATTGCATTCTGTTCTAATTAATAACCCTTAATCCTGCTTCCTAGGATTACTTCCCCAGTAAATAACCTGTACCTAAGTCCTTGTCTCAGACCACAGTTTGGGAACCAAAGGTTTGGGTGAGAGAAGAAAGGGTGTTTTGTTTTGTTTTAATTTGTGTTTGTACAGTATCTCTCTCTATTTCTCCTAGGTTACCAAGATGCTGGCAGTGGTTGTAATTCTGTTTGCCCTTCTATGGATGCCCTACAGGACTCTTGTGGTTGTCAACTCATTTCTCTCCACTCCTTTCCAAGAAAATTGGTTCTTGCTCTTTTGCAGAATTTGCATTTATCTCAACAGTGCCATCAATCCAGTGATTTACAATCTAATGTCCCAGAAATTCCGTGCAGCCTTCAGAAAGCTCTGCAACTGCAAGCAGAAACCAACAGAGAAACCTGCTAACTACACTGTGGCCCTAAATTACAGTGTCATCAAGGAGTCAGACCATTTCAGCACAGAGCTTGATGACATCACTGTCACTGACACTTACCTGTCTGCCACAAAAGTATCTTTTGATGACACCTGCTTGGCTTCTGAGGTATCCTTTAGTCAAAGTTGATTCATGAATTAGAGGAAAACGGACCACAAAGAAAATGAGAATCTGTGCAGTAATCAACAAAAGGGAGAATATGGCCAATAGTTGTATGTGAAGACAGAGCAGATCAGTCTTTGTCAATGCTCTAACAAGTCCTGGCCCTAGATACTTTAAGGAGGATAATTCAGACTTTCCTTCTTTCAAACTAGTACCACAAAAAATGAAGCTGATCTGAGAAATAGCCAAATGATTAAAAACTGAAAGTTTAGCCCTTTTTGTTTAACTTAAGAAATTTACTATATTTTCTGGGCTTATAGAGTTTCAGTAAAATCTAGACAGCAATTTACATTATTCATAATAACCTTATCAAATGTCACTTTTCAACCACCTAAGTTATTTATGCATTCAATAATTTGACAACATGCAGATTTTTAAATGTTTGCATTTAGTATTTCCTTTTAATATTGTGCAGTGCTAGCTTGTGAATATCTGAAATTTAAGGGAAAATATTATAGAAAACATTTTATTTATTGAGTAAAAATAAGATTTTAGACATACATGTTCACTGTATTTTAAAAATTGTCATAATGTTTGTAAAATTCTGAGATGATTTTTATATCTTAGAAGGCAGATAACCATCACTCAACTTTAATGTTAAATAAACCTCAAAGTATCCAAAACTATTAATTAAAGAGAAATGTAGATTTTAAGATAAATCCAACTCTTATCAACTCTTCCAGCCTCCTACATGATAGATGGAACAAGGTAAAAACCCAGATTAAGTAACTGGGAAGATACAAACTAACATACGATTAATTTTGAAAAGTATAGCCAAGACAAAAGCAAGTATTTATAATAAAGTTTTGCTTCTTCTTTGAAGCTTTTAAGCAAGAAAATCTTTTTGAACATTCTTGTTTATAAACTACTGAGCCATCCTTCAAGCAAAATCTAGCTTAAAAGTCTGAAACATTTGTAAAAGCTTCATTGTTACTCTAAATTAGCCAAAATCCTGGTATCCCCATTCCAGATGAAGACTTCCCGCTGAGAACTGTAGTCTATGGATTTTTACCTTGGTTGCAATTGTCTTTTGTTCCTAACTGCTTGTCGTTTATAGGTTCTTTTCTTGTTTTTTCTCAGACGTTAGTGTTATTTTGTTTACAGATTCTCAATCAAAGCAATGCAAAATTCTGTTGGCTTTATTTTCAGTAGAGTTAAAACTGATTTCATCATATTATCAATTTCTCACTTTTATATTTATGACTGAGATCTGCTAATGCAGTGATTATTAGAGACTTGTGAATGAATCTGTCCAGGACATTTGTCATTTCCTACCTGAATCTCTTACCTACTGAGATTTGCCAACCGGAATCTTCAAGGGTAGAAATTGCCCTTAGTAATGGTTCGATAGTCATTGATTTTTAATGACTAGATGATCAAAAAGTACCCATACGTTTACATGCCCCATAGCCTGGCATTTTCCCTCTCCAGTCTATATCCCTATTTTATGGACTTTTCTAGAACGTAGTTGCTAATGATAATTAGGCCTACCCACCTTCTTAATGAAGAATATGCCATTCTACTTTCAAAACTTGTTTTTAAATGCTGTTTCATGGAGACTCTACTATCCAGAACCTCATTCTAGAATATGCTTTTTTGAAAATTGTCTTCATTTACTCCACCAAGATATTTTTATCCTGTTGCTATAGTAGTAAACAAATGCAAGCCAATATTTGCAGGAAATACCCTAAAATTCCACCTGCATTACAGTAAGCAATCTATGTCAACTGACTTTTCATTCTGGTATAAATATTAATCTTGGCACTGTATAAATAGAGCACCAGAGGGACCCAACCCCAAATCACACAAGCATATGCATGTTTATAAACACATACCCACATGTTCATAAAATGGAGAAAAAGGGATCGGAATATATGAGATTTTTTTTCATTACAGAAAGAAACTAATATGATTGAGCATCTACTATGTGTCAGGTATGCTGGTAGAGTCAATCAACATTATCTTCATCACAATTTCACTACAGCTGTGATTTCTCTGATGATAAGACCAGTTTTCCTGTAACCTAATTCCTAATTGATAAAAATTTATGGATTTTGCAGAATGATTATATCAGGTGTTAAAAACTACAATTAATTTAACACGATATACATGGAATACAAAGATGCTCTTCTCATCTTTGGATATTTAATGTATGAACTGACTTCTTTTACTTGAATTTTTAAAAAGTTATTTGCCAATAATCTATTAGTTTTAGAGCACATGGGAAATTCATAAGAACTCAGTTTGTAGTGTTTTAACTCTAAAGCAAACGCCATTATAAAATTAAAAGTTTCTATGTAATGTCCAATAGATATTTGAATTTACCCGGAAGAGACATAACTTTTTAAAATATTCTTTACCACACTGTACTCAATTATGAAATATTTCCATAAATAATCAAAACAATATACCACCAAATGAGAAACAAAGAGCTAGATGAAAATTTGCTGGTGAAATGAAGTAATGTTATAAAGAGCCTTCCTTAATAAAAATTTCCTGTCTTATTTTATTACTTCCAATTTCATTAATTGCTGAATGTCACTGGTTAGATCTTATACTTGAGGTAATTGGGTAAAGGGCACCAATCATGAATAAAATGAACAAACATAAATTCCCCTCAGGACTTAAGGGATGTGAGTATATTTCGAGACCTTAACAAACAAGGCAGATATTCTAAATGCTGAAGAAAAATAAGACAAGTCCAGACTCTATAGTTATTCTTAAACAAATTCAATGTACAGAACAATAAACCTTGATAATACACAGAAATAAATGACTGATTTGGCTGAACAACTGGCAATGTCAAAGGAAAAGCTGCAGCCATAAAACTTAGCATAGTGCCACTAAGTCTTAATGGATATTTGAAACGTTTCATTTTCAGAAGACTACATTGGAATAATAAGAACAATATGTCTTAGTAAAAGCTGGGTCAACATAGTTTTGGCTGGCTTTTAAAGAGTAAAAGAGTTTATGTCCTTTTAAACTATGTTAAATCTCTAAACATGATAAAAAGAGAAAACAACTTTCTGAAGAAAATATTTTATGTGGTTAACCCATCAATCTTTGAATTCTATAAATATTATATTTAATATCTTTACTTCTCAATTGCAATTAAAACACGGGTTGGAATTTTTGTGTATGAAATAGGGCAACTCAATGTGAATTATTATACACTAGTCAGTTCCAGAGTCAACAAAAATGTTTTCAAATGTTTTAAGTCACTCAGTAAACATGAATATCCCCAGCAATTTATTTCCTATGCATCCATAGCCGTCTACAATAAACAGCCATCAAAACCAAGATCTGATTGAGTGAACATAAGCTTTCAGAATAATACACACAAAGAAATCTTACAGAGCTCGGTGGTCATAAGTATTTTTCTCTCTCTTCTCTCTTCCCCATCAAACTTTCATCATTCCACAATCATCATTTTCCTCATAGCAGAAAGATTCATCTAAGTTCATTCAAGACTAAACCTGGACATGAAATATCTTAAGTACGAGTGTTCTTTCAAATGTATTTATGTATAAAAATATGTGGTTGTGGCGGGGCGCGGTGGCTCACTCCTGTAATCCCAGCACTTTGGGAGGCCGAAGGGGGTGGATCACGAGGTCAAGAGATCGAGACCATCCTGGTCAACATGGTGAAACCCCGTCTCTACTAAAAATACAAAAAATTAGCTGGGCATGGTGGCGCGTGCCTGTAGTCCCAGCCACTCAGGAGGCTGAGGCAGGAGAATTGCCTGAACCCAGGAGGCGAAGGGTGCGGTGAACCGAGATCGCACCATTGCACTCCAGCCTGGGTAACAAGAGCAAAACTCCATCTCAAAAAAAAAAAAAAAAAAAAAAAAAGTGGCTGTTATGCAAACTTTCATTTTCATGAAATCACTTTTAAACATTGAAAAACTGATGTCTTAAAAATAGAGTTCTATTTATGTCCTCATTTACATGCGAGGGATCATGTATAGAGTTGAGAAGTTTAATATGGCTCTTTCCCTTATAGAACAAAGTACAAGTTTGGCATTTTAGAGGTTTCTTTCAGAAACTAATCAAAGAATACTCAATATGTGCAAAATTGCTGCAGAAATTTGTTTCGGCAGACAAAAGGCTCTTCTCATTCTTATGAAGCTCGTAATCCTACAAGAAAAACAAGACCAACATGACATCACCTCAAGATATAACTGTTTGGCAATATTTAGAATACATATCTGAGATGTCAGAAATCTGATTTTAAAGAAGCATTTGTTAATGGTTCATTTGAAATCTCATAAGATGACTTTTAATATAATGATCAATTTTACATATTCTCATTCTACTTTATGGACTCTAATTAGAAGTATCTGTAAACTTAATTCTTCACTGATTACACAGGAAACTAAGGTCAGCTAAGACCCTGTAATATTTTTCTGATATGTTCAGCCTATCAGTATAATCTCATCGCTCAGCAGCAAACCTCATTTACAGGGGTTGCACATTGGAGAATGATTTTGTTACTGACATGGTTAGCACCAAATGATGACAATGCTGACATAAACTAAATCTACAGGATTCTGGTTCTAATATTCAAATACAGTAGTCCTCCATATCCTCTGGGGATCCATTCCAAGACCCCTAGTGGATGCCTGAAACTGTGGATAGTACCAAACTCTGTATATACTGTTTTTTTGATCTGATAGCCAAGATGTCTACTAAATGACCAGCAGCAGGCAGGCTGTGTGCAGAGCATGAATACACTGGACAAAAAGAGGATTCACGTTTTGGGTGGGATGCTGCTGCATGGCGCAAGATTTTATCATGACACTCAATGTCTCTCAATTTAAAACTTATACATTATTTATTTCTGGAACTTTACATGTAATATTTTTGTGTAGAGGTTGACTGCAGGTAACTGAAACTACAGAAAACGAAACGAAACTGTGTCTAAGGGCTGACTATTGTAACCTGTTTAGACAAAAGGGATCATGAATGTTTGTGTACAATGTCGTTGGGCCTATTTACATTCTTCTACAGTAAGCACATTCATGATAAAGCCAATATGAGGTTATTAATTCATATTTTAGAAATGACATCTGGAAAAATAAAAGAGCTAAATGAATTAGTACAGCTAGGACAGTACATTGTCCCAAATGTTCAAATCTGGATCCAGCAAGGTAACAAAGGATAGTTTTAATGGCCAATAAACAGTCAATTCACACTGCTTTCCTGCCTGGCCTCAATGAAGAAGCATCTGGCTTAAATCCATGCTACAGATCTCAACTGGAATAATGGAAATAAAAGTACTTCATAAATTATAAACGTTAAAAAGTCAGGTTAAACAGTGGAGTCAGCTGGAGCTCCTTCAGTGTATCTGAGTCCTGAAACAGCATGTGTAAGTGGTTAGTTCATTCCTTACAGAATAATGAACTTAATTCTTGTGCATTAGGTTGTTCTCTGACTTCCAAACAAGAGAGAGTATGAACTTCCTCAAAAATGGTGTGACTGATAGTGACAATGATGGAGGCTTTTCAGAAAAAAAGGAATAAATACAAGGTAGCAGAATAAGGCTCCATCTAACCAGAGATCTGAATTCAGAAGTCAATAGGAACATAATATTTCTGAAATGGTACAAGATGCCCTAGTAAGGAGACCAAATATTTAATCCCTAGCCAAGAATAGTGAAACATTTCTGCTTTTATATATATAAGAGTTACCTGGGAGCTTATCTTAAAATGCACTTTCTTTTGGTCTTGGCCTAAGAAATTCTCATTTATTAGATGATTTTGATGCCTATTGTCTTCTGAGCATATCTTGAAAACCCCTGAGTTCAGGGCCTTCAGAGCCTTCAAGCTCACATAATCCTTAATAAGCAACTCAACGGAAAAATCCTTGAGAGTAAGTCTATTTCATCTTTGTATTTCACAAATTATCTAAACTACTTTTTAGTTAATTATTTATTACCTATTGGATGATGTCCCTAAATATCTGTAAAATGAATTAGTAAATCAATCCCAAGCTCAGAAATATATTCTAAATTGGGTATTGATAATACCCAATTTGTCTATAGATACATCTTCACAATCAGATAACTCACTGTGCTTGTTTTGTATTTAAAACACAAAACAAGCAGAGTGAGTTATCTGGCTCATTGAAAGGCACTGCATGAAGTGTGCCAGATGATGGTCAGAACAATCCCTATGTATGTAACATGCATGACAATTTCAGTGGTACTCTCATGTCCACCATCCACTTTAATAATGAGAAAAAGGAAATCTAAAACATTTTCTCTGCTTTCAAGGAGATTACAATTTAGTGACAACGTATTAACACAGAAACATGCTAGAAGAAAAAGGAACACATAATTGGAAGCCAAATTGTGTGATTTCAGACTACACACAGCTGAGTTTTTCAGAGGAAAGGGGGCATCCATGGGGCTTGGAGTCATTAAGGAGGGCTTTGTAAAGAAGGTAGGACTTCCTTCAAGGATAGATTTGATTTAGATAGTTAAAGAAAAGATGATCCATGTGAGAAAAAATAAGATGAGTAAAGGAAAAGAGACATACATAAATCTTAAAGCAAGGCTCTTGATATTAAGAATGTGTATCCAGAGCAAATACAACTCATCAGGGATTGATTAAGGAAGGCAGTTAGTCCAAAAAAGGAAAGAAAAAAAAGATAAAGGAAGTAAGGGGACCAACCTGTGCTTATATTTGGTGAGAAAATGTTCACTCATACACAAGAATATAAAGTAGAAATGTATATAAATCTGCTATGTCTGCTTTCTAAACTTTGTGAATTTCATTTATTATCTAGAAAATACAGCATGTCTTATGTTACAATTCTAAAAGTATTCTTATTGTCCTAATTGTCCAAGTGAAAAATATGTGTGTATATATTTATCTTTTTTTCTATATTATATTATCATCATATACTTAAAAATATTTACATTTGTGTATATTATTCGGGGGTACTGACTGACTCTGGCTTTATCCAATTATGCTACACATAGAGATCAGAGCTAGCTCAGGGACCTAGGCCCTTCTGAACGGAAACTTCAACATTACACATGAAACTGAGAAACATGTAGTAATTTGCTTAAGACTACTATGACAATATTGTTGACTTGCATGTTGCTTATGCCATGCCTTGGAGTGTTCTGGCTTCCTTCTATCAGCTTTAGAAAGTTGTATGCTGACTTATTTCATCATTTTGGCAGTTAATCATTGTGTCCTTGTGGGGCAAACACTCTTTTTTAATAAAGTTCAGTATTATGTGCTTTATTGTGAGAAACTGTGTGTCTGTTCCAATATTGTATGGTGAGCAATAAAGCATCAAACTGAAAGACCTGGCTCTTTAGATTTCTTTTTCTTCAAAATTATTTCATTTTTGGTGTGACTGGACCTTAAACCACTTGCCCCAAAGACTTCATTTTAATTCAGTGCCACCCACATGTACCACTGGTGGTTTTTCAAAATAATTATAAGCAATAGACAAATAGACATTTACTTTTAATAATAAATTGAATGTGTCCATCCCACATACTCTGCATAACTGCCTATTATACTTATATCTAAAAGGGGAGATAATGTACATGAATCTATAAAAATAAACCAGTGATAGTATCCACGTGTGGTGCCTCATGCCACATCTCCTCTTTGGTCCCATGATTTCAGCACAGCCGTGGTAGACCATTTCATATATATTGCTGATCTCCCATCTTCAGCAAACTAAAGTGGCAGAGTTCCTCCAAGCTGTATTATAACACTCAGTGTAAGCACAAGGAGTCAAAGATTTCAAGGGAGTTAATGCCCCTAGGGACACCCATCAAAACGTGGGGAGTAAAAACCAATAGACAAATGTTCCAGGTTCTTATCTTCTAATGGAATATTTCTGAGCCATCTTCAAAGCAATTCTTCAAATGGTCCTCAGTATTACTGAGCCCCTGTTCTTCCTACTGGAAACCAACTCAAACACATACCCTTCATCGACTCTTCCTCCTTCCTTGTCCCACTTCTTCACTCTGTTTCCTGAAGTAACCTCCAAAACGTACTATTTGCACCCAAATCCTTGTTTCAGGCTCTGCTTTGGAGTACCATCGATCTGATAATGTTTTTAAGTAGATGTCTATGAGTGGTGGATCAGAAATATCATTTTGAAAATGAAAAATCAGAAATGACACATAATAGTTCTCTCTGTACAGGTGCTTCTCAACTTATAATGGGGTTTTGTCCCAATAAACCCATTGTAAGTTGAAAATATTGCAGGTTGAAAATATGTCTAATACACCTAAACTACTGAACATTGTAGCTTAGCCTAGCCTACATTAAACATGCTCAGAACACTTACAGTAGCCTATAGTTCAGCAAAATCATCTTACGCAAAACCTATTTATGAAAGAGTACTGAATATCTCATGTAATTTATTCCAAATTGTAGTTTCTATGAAATCTGTATTGCTTTCATACCACAGTAAAGTAAAAAATCATAAGTATCAGGAGTCAAGCTATCAAAAGGAGGAAGTATTTTCATTTCCAATCAGACATTGCCTTCTAAAATACTAAAGAGCTACCGCTGCATATGTATGTCAGTTAAATACTTTTAATATAGCACAAAGTTTATGAATCACAGAAAAAATAGTTATTTCTCTATACTCCTGAACCATAAAGTATCCTGTCATTTCAACTCAACTTTGTTCAAATTCTCCCATGTAATTTATAAGTATTTTACTCTTAGAATATAACAACTGGGTCTGTAAAATAGAGATAGTAACACATCTAATTCATAAATTAATTAAGATAATCAAATTAAATTACATTTAAAAGTAGTTATAAGATGGGCCAATAGTTTACGCTCAACATTTCCTAACAATTACTAATCAGACTCAATAAAAGGAATTTCAACCATATGAAGCCATAAATATTCACTGAGAAATACTGGGCACAAGGAACCTTCCCTGGTACTACAATAAGACAAAAGAGGAAATAAGAATTGTCCTCAAGAATCTTACAATCTGGCTAAAGAGACTAAATACAAACATTTTAAATTAGGTAACAGTATAAGGTTTAACTAGCAGCCTAAGATGCCAAGAGAAGAAAAAAGGAAGTACCTGATTAATCCCCCAACTATTAACATAAACAATAATAGTCATGAAATTTCAGAAGAGAGAGATAAATTACTTCAGTCTAAGCTAGTATCTTATTTTGTTACCTGCTATAACAAAATATCAGAGCAGGGTAATTTATAAACAACAGCAATGTATGTCTCACAGTTCTAGAGGTTGCGAAGATCAAGACCAAAGCACTAGTACATTTGGAGTCTGGTGAGGGCTATTTCCTAGGTTCATAGATGATACTTTTCTGCTGTGTCCTCACATGGCAGAAGAGCCAAAGGAGTTCCCTTGGAACTATTTTATAAGGACTCTAATCCTGTTCATGAGGGCTCCATCCTCAAGATTTAATCACCTCCCAAAGGCCCCACCTCCTAATACTGGCACACTGATAATTTGATTTCAACACAATTTGGTGGTAATGAGGGGCCAAAAATCTTCAGATCATAGCAGCTAGCAAGAAAAGACTTTCAGAAGGCAGTGGGATATGATCTGAATGTTAAATTGTAGTAAAATATGAAAGGGCAGAGAAGGTATGGGGTGGAGCAGACAGAAAAGGAGACATTCAAAAATACATGAGTGAAAGAAATGAGACAGGATAAGATGGTGTGGATACAGAGAACTTAGCTAAAAACTGGAAATTACCTTGTTTACAATAGAATATCAAGAGTGGAATAGCTCTAAAGTCAGCTAGTGCTCATTCAAAAGGAGAATTTAGGATCAAGTGCAGTGGATCACTCCTACAAACCCAGCACTTTGGGAAGCAAAGGCTGGAGGATCACTTTAGCTCAGAAATTTGAGACCAACCTAAGCAACACAGTGAGACCCCCACCTCTACAAAAAAAAAAAAAAATTACCAGGCAAGGTAGCACAGGCCTGTAGACCCAGCTACTGGAGAGTCTGAGATGAGAAAATAGCTTGATCCCAGGAGGTTGAGGCTGTAGTGAGCCATGATCGCACCACTGCACTCTAGTGTGGGCAACTGAATGAGAAGAAAGAAAAAGAAAGAAAGAAGGAAGGAAGGCAGGAAGGCAGGAAGGCAGGAAGGAAGGAAGGAAGGAAGGAAGGAAGGAAGGAAGGAAGGAAGGAAGGAAGGAAAAAAAAGAAAGGAAGGAAGGAGTTAGGGAAGAGAGACAGGAAAGAAGGAAAGAGAGAGAAAAAGAGGGAGGGAAGGAGAGAAGGAAGGAAAGTTAAAGGAAATTTAGCTGGGCTACATTTTATGTTTTTTTTTTAAATTTTTTCTTGAAAATATAAAGCATGATAATAATTATAACACTTTTTTGCTTAACTTTTTCTGATTTAGAATAATGGTAGTAGTATCTGTAACATTTCTGTAAACCTAAAATTATTCCAAAAGAATATGTTTACTAAATAAATAAATGTTGGTAATAGAAATCCAAAAGAAAAGTAGTTTGATCTAAATGTTTCTCCTATAAGGCCCCAAATTATTTTGGCACTAAAGTTTTCTTTTTTAATTAACCAAATGGCAATATTATTTAAATTTTCTTTTCAATATGACTAACAATGTTCATAATTCTTAAACCATAATTCAAGTATAGCAGGGCTTTTATTGCGAGGATCTTTTTGAATAACTATCACTTGAGTCAGTTAGTTTCATATTTTCTTATGTAGCAATAAGCCAAAGACCTCTCAACTCCAAATACACACACACACACACACACACACACACACACAATCAAATCACAAAATTTTCAGCAGTATAAATTATAGGAAGCACAGAGTCAGCATCTTTCTTTCTTCACTTCATACACACATTTACTCATTAACTAAAATATATCATCCACCTACCACTCATGACTTTGGTCATTCTCCTTTAATGTGAAATGGACACCAATTGGCTCCATCTCATTAGCAGTTTCTAATTTCATTTCATTAGCAGTTCCTAATGACTCTGGCTTTGCCAAGTTATCCTCAGAGAAACTCCATCATTGATCATTAAATGGGTTTCAACTTTTACCCCACACTACATACCTTGAATTTAAATATCTCATGCCCTTGGCTATAATGACAAGTGACATGGTTATGACAACTTCTAACTTTAAAGGAAAACTATCTCTTGAGCTCAAAAAAAAAAAACCTGACAAATAGGCAATAATTCCAACAATTAGAATAGTTGCTTGTTTAGCTTCTAAGTCCTACTTGTTATGGTTTGATAGATATGTACAAAAATATTTTTGAGACCATTACCCCAACAGACAGATGAAGAGAAGAAAAACAGAATTTAGAAAAGATCAATAATAAGTCTTCCAAATAGCATATTCTGGGTTAGCTTTACTGGGGGAAAGGTTAAATTAAATATTTCGTATGAGTACCATTATTTCATTCACAATCAGTTATTTTCTTGGAAAGGAATGCAATTGGCCACCAGAAGGATCTGAGACAATTGAAAGAATCTGTTCCTTTGCTTGGAATATTGAACACATTTTTTTAAATGCCAAGATATGAAGGATGTGAAAACACTGATTGCCATGGCCAGATGGCAAACTACAACTTGGGCAAATTGGGTAGCTGCTGAGTTTGCCATCACTTATTGATCATCTAGGCTATATCTCATAATGCCCTTCTGCTTGCCAATCAGAAGTGGCGATGAAGATGATTAGTATAAAATTCTTTAGTGTCTTATGTCTGTTGCATATATTTGGGATTTTTATCAAAATTAATACTGCCATGGATTATAATTGACATGATATAGTAAAATAGAAGAGCTAGAGGGTTTGGGACCTGGCATCAAAACTGCCGCCTGCATGAAGCAGGCACTAAGAAGAAAGTGAGGTGATGGTCATCTACCTGTGGAACCAGAGAAAGAATTCAGTCCAGAAGGGAAAGCATCCAACATATAATCAACTGAAGGCAACAAATGAGTAGTGAGATGCAGACCATTTATAATTCCAGGGAATTCTCCAATGCTAAACAGTGTCCGTGCTTAAAAGAACTGACTAAGCCTTCTGAGAATGGAAATCTCATAACCATTTTTCCCTTGGTTTTATGTGCTTTGCACTAAAGTGATGTCTAATGGCCCTCTCCTCCTCTCCTTGGTTTTATGTGCTTTGCACTAAAGTGATGTCTAATGGCCCTCTCCTCCTCTCCTTGGCCTTGAGTTCTATTCTCCTCTTCCAAACCATCTCACCCTCCACCTCATGTTCAATACACAACTCAAACAGGTAAAACCTAAAGATGGGGGTGGGAATATTTAATTCAAA